GTGGGGGGGGGGGGGAGTGTTATCAGAAGATGAAGCCTAGTGAATTATCTGTCATCGGTAGATTTCAGTGCAATCGACGTTTCTCGGAGTGTGATTTTTTATTCTTAAAAGAGTCGTGTTGTTTTGTTAATGACGCACACGTGGTGGGGTATTTTTATTATCAATTGGTAGTTTGAGGGTTTTAGTAGGGGACGTGGATTACGTGATATCGAGTGCCGACGGAGACCGTTGCTATGTTGAATACGCGGATATTTTCCATGGAAATCGATAAATGTGAGGGGATGTCACGCTAATGTCGCGATTTGCGAGAGTAGATGGTTTTTTTTGAAATTTTTCGAGAGAGTTCGGGGGACTGGTGACTTGGATGGAGGTGATAGTCTCACGTTGCGTTATGCAAAACGATTAACTTGTTGGAGTTATTAATTGGAGTTAACAATAGCCTATTGCCACGGGGATTGATGAAAATAGGGGCTGATTCTCGCGCCTGTCTGTCCGTGAATTTTCACATTAAGACGTGAGTGATGAGCGCAAGAGTAATACGGGAAAAAACGCATTGAGTGGAAACAGACGGTCGGTATGGAGTGTAATTAGTCATTAGCAAGTATAATGGATATTCCGGGCTTTGTATTTTCATTTATTAGGCGTGATGGGCCTTCTCTATTAGCACAGTGACGCATTCGAAATTATTTCTTGAGGGCTTTCGTGGTGAGAGGTGGGCTCAGCATATTATTTGTAGTGTTGGCCATTTTAATGGACTTTTTCGTTGTTTGTGGGTCATTTTTATGGGGCAATAGCAATGTTGGAGAGGAGAATTGAATGATCAGGAGATTTTCGCTGGCGTAAGAGCATTCTAATTGGCGGAGATTTATTATTTCATTTTTGGGCAGCAGTTTGGGGGCATTTTTGAAAACCAAATTGATCAGTGAGCTCTATTCTTGAAATGGAGAAAAATTTCGGTGAATTGTTAACATTGAAATTTAGAAAAAAATAGAATGTTTTTGGGTCAATTGTATTTAAATATTTAATTTTTTGTTGGAGTTTTACTGAAAATTTCTGAAGCTAATAGAAGTTGGAGGTGAAGGATTGGTATTCGTTCCATTATGTTTTGAAAGAATGGAGTATTTTAATGGACTATTTCGTGATATGTACAGCTCATTTTTATGGAGCAATAGTTATGTTGTAGTTGACAATTGATGGATCGGAGAATTTCACTGTCGTAATTTCGTTATAATTGTTGGAGATTTATTATTTAATTTTTGGGCAGCACTTTGTGTGGATTTTATTGAAAATTTGAAACAAATTCATAAGTGACATCTACCTATTTTTTCCATGGAGAAAAATTACGATGAAATACTTACATTGAAATGTAGTAAAGAATATAATATTTTGGGGCGTTTCTACCTAAATAGCCATTTTTTCATTGGATTTTTCATAAACAATTTTTGAGCTAATAGAACTTAGAGGTGAATTCTAAGGGAAATCTCTTGAGATTTGTTTTCATTTCATTATGTTAAAAAAATTGAGTATTTCAATCGACTATTTCGTGATATGTAGCTCATTTTCATGAGATGATAGCACTGTTGCAGTTGAATATTGAACGTCAGGAGAATTTCGCTGTTAAATTTCATTCTAATTGTTAGAGATTTATTATTTCATTTTGGAGCATCACTTTATGTGGATTTTATTCAAAACTTGAAACGAATTGACAAGTGGCATCTACTTATTTTTCCCATGGAAGAAAAGTTCGATGAAATATGAACATTGAAATATAGCCAAAAATATCATGTTTGGGAGGCATTTCTATACTTAAATATTGAATTTTTTATTTGAGTTTTGGTAAAAATTTCTTACACCAATAGAATTCAGAGCCGAATTCTAAGGGAAATCTTTTGAGATTTGTTTTCATTTCATCATATTAAAAAAATTGAGCATTAATCTACTATTTCGTGATAATTAGCTGCATTTTATGAGATAATAACAATGGTTCATGTCGTAATTTCATTTCAGTTATTTGATACTTACTGCTTTATTTTTGATGATCACTTTGTCTAGTTCCCATTAAAAAATTTCGATGAAATATTAACTGTAAAATATAGCAAAAATTCTAACGTTTTAGGGATATTTTTACCTAAAATTGTTGCATTTTTCATAAAAATTTCTGAAACCAATAGAATTTAGGGCTGAATTCTAATGGAAATTTTATTGGATTTGTTTTCATCCCATTACAATTTGAAAAAATCGAGATTTCCTTCTAGCCGGTTTGATATCAGTTTCATCGAATTACGTGTAGGGTGATGTTGGCTGAGATAGTCATACCGCAGACCGGGATAATTTGAATAATTGCATAAAAATGTGGGCATGAGAGACATTACACTCGGGGTTATTTCGAATACCTCAATGTGTATTTAACGTTTTTGAAATTTCTTGCTTGATTTGTATCCATCTTTCACACGAATACCCCAAGAACTTCATCAATCATCGAAAACTTCACTTCTGTTTACCTTCTGCACCAGACGATTTCGTGGTTTTAACGTTGAAATTATAAAATCGAAACAGTTTGCGGTTCGGGACACGTGCGACGGCGCGCGAAAGAGTATTGAAATACCCACATAATGCACCGCATTGACCGCAGGGTTATCGCTCTCCTTCTTCATTTTCAGCTTAATCTTTTTGTGGCGGTATTGAGTTACCGATGACTCACGAAATCTCAGAGCGCAGCCACTTCTTTGCCGATTACCGACGCAATCTTGTAGCATTCGCCCTCAGTCTCTTTGCATAAATGCTGTCGCTTGATAGCTGATAGTGGAAAACACATGTTAACATGAGTAAAATACTGAGGGTCGAGTTCAAATACAAATCCACTCTTAATAAAAATATAACTTTAATAACAATAACTTTCTTAATAATCAATTTTTTGCAAAGTTCATTATAGTTTCCTGTGTAATATTCCATAACTATGATGCTCGTCATATAAAACTGAATATTTTTTCTGTCAGATGAATCCTTCCAATGCAAAAGCATTCTGCTATTTCTGAATGATGGAAATTATTTTATTATACAGTTTTTTATTTGCAAATAAATTTTGTTTTCATTCATTTTCATTGTCCAACGGTTATTTCTCGTCTCCTGGGAAGAAAAACAGCACCAGCACTGGAAATTTTATTGCGTAGCACGTGAAATTTGTGCGGTTATATGAAATTTTTGAAAAATCTCCGCAAGTTTTATCAGAAATCACTAGAAATTGTACCTCAACAGTACTAGAATTTTTATAAAGAATTTTTCTCCGTATATAAATTCTGAATAGATATAGTGAATTAATACTGGGGGTTCAAGTAAAATATAAATGCACACTCAGTGAAAATATCTCTTTAATAGCAATAACTTTCTTAATAATCAATTTTTTGCAAAGTTCATTATAGTTTCTTATGTAATATTCCATAACTATGATGCTTGTCATATAAAACTGGATTTTTTTTCCGTCATATGAATCCTCTCAATGCAAAAGCATTCCGCTATTTCTGAATGATGGAAATTATTTTATTATACACTTTTTTATTTGCAAATAAATTTTGTTTTCATTCATTTTCATTGTCCACCGGTTATTTCTCGTCTCCTGGGAAGAAAAACAGCACCAGCACTGGAAATTTTATTGCGTAGCACGTGAAATTTGTGCGGTTATATGAAATTTTTGAAAAATCTCCGCAAGTTTTATCAGAAATCACTAGAAATTGTACCTCAACAATACTAGAATTTTTATAAAGAATTTCTCTCCATGTATAAATTCTGAATAGATATAGTGAATTAATACTGAGGGTTGAGGTAAAATACAAATGCACACTGAGTGAAAATATAACTTTAATAACAATAACTTTCTTAATAATCAATTTTTTACAAAGTTCATTATAGTTTCCTGTGTAATATTCCATAACTATGATGCTTGTCATATAAAACTGGTTTTTTTTCCGGCATATGAATCCTCTCAATGCAAAAGGATTCCGCTATTTCTGAAAGATGGAATAGTATATTTCGTAACGAGTGCAAAAAAGTGTTTTTTCGCGAGTGGGAGGTTTATATCACGAGCCGAAGGCGAGTGATATAATCCCACGAGCTAAAAAACATTTTTTCACTAGTTACGAACAATATTTTTCATCACAATGTGGCGCTCCGCGTGCCTAAAAGTCCACTTTTCGTCACAGCGTGATGAAAATTATTTTATTATACGAGTTTTTTATTTTCAAATAAATTTTGTTTTCATTTATTTTCGCTATCCACCGGCCATTTCTCGTCTCCTTCCCGTACGTGGGAGAAGTTCTCTAGAAAAACTGTAGTACTAGCACGGTAAAAAGGGCGCAGAGTGACGGCCAGGAGAAAAATTCCAGCGCTGGCACTGGAAATTTTATTGAGTAGTGCGTGAATTTTTCTCGTTCTTATATGAAATTTTCGTAGAAACCCCTAAGGATATCCAAGTCCTTTGGCTATTTTCTTCTCCAGTGAAATGCTTTTCTACTTGTGTAGTCGAACATCAGAGCTTTCACTTGAACCCCATTTGACCCTTCATTTGATTTAAACTTTGCACGTCTGAATTTGAACCTCAATATTGAACCTTTAGAAAACATTTTAAAAATCTGAAAAAAATAGAAAGTTCACTTTTGGAGGAAATGACGATTATTTTCTATAAATAATTTATCAACAATCAATTTTCCATCATAAAATCATTTGTTCGGAATCGTAACAAATTTATTCATTTTCAGAATTTGACCACAAATCAATTTTATGACTAAAAAAAATGAAGTTTCGGACAGTTTAAATAATTTCAATTATTCATTTATAAACAACGAATGTTAAAAAAA